ACTTGAAGGTTTCCTTGCCTCAAGTACCACACCACGTTGAAGGATACAACTTTTGATCAAACTTATTGATTGAAAGGGGGTAGGTCAACTTTCTTACAAGTTGGTCTTGCAAGTCCTATTGTTCGGACCTTGCAGTTGTTGAAGAAGCGTGACCTTCGAAGGAACAACAAAGCCAGCACGAGTGCAGTAGCAATATTGGCCTTGCGAAGATATACCGTGCAGAAATTCACACAAGTGTAATTGTTGGTTCATTATTCAACAACCAACTACATAGTGGATTTTGAGAACGTAGAAGGATTACCCCACCTTCGAACCTCGTTAAAGTTTGCGTGTCTCTCTCTTTTATCTTTATTCTTACTTGCAATTATATTAACTGTGAAAACTAACCCATCCATATTGATTACTGCTCACTCTACCCACCAAATTCCACACACAATCTAAAGTTCACAAGAACTCTAGATTAACACTCATTTTCACGTTTTCAAAAGAAACGAAAAAGTTTTAAATTTGTAACAAAGTCTATTCACCCCCCCCCCTCTAGACTTTGTATCTCACCACTTTGGGACCACCACCTCCCATCGCTGGGTTCCCATCGATGGGTAAAGGTTCCCATCGCTGGGTAAGGGCATTATGCCTTGTGAAAATGTTGGACCAAGGCTTAAACAGCGATGGGTAGAACTTCCCATCGCTGTTTGGCATGGTTCTGGAAATCAGTTGGGCTGAAGGCTGCTTACCCATCGCTGGGTGGAATGATTCTGGAATCCCGGGATCACTTACCCATGGATGGGTGATATCTACCATCGCTGGGTAGATGGCTAGCCCAGAACCATGGCCTAGCTGACCGGCACTAAAACCCGACCGAAAAATGCAAAGTTCTCCAAAGTAAAAACTAAGTATATAAAACACTTATTTAATGTATTGTGATGTCAAAACAAGCGTTTTAAGTTGAAAGCCACGTCGTTAAGGTAAAAACCACGGTTGACCAAGTCAATGCCGTACACGGGTGGTTTTTACCAAAAGACAAAACCGAAAGGTGGTTTTCATGATGTTTTGATTGGGGAACCATTTAAATGCATTCAAAAACAATTCCCACACAAAAAGACTCGAAAACCACTTCAATTAAGTAAAAACCACGGCTAGCCAAGTTTATGCCGTTTCGCATGGTTTTTATCAATCGACAAAAAACGAAAGGTGGTTTTTGAAGTGTTTTTTATGGAGAACTATTTAAATGTTCCCAGAAGTAAAAACTAATCATAAGAAGTTGAAAACCACTTGGTTGGTTCGGACGCCAAAAACCAACGCCGATAACCGAATGCCGAACGCCGGTTTCCGAAAGCCGAACCCCGGATGGCTTGGTTTTTGGGTTGGGCGAACACCAAGTGTTTTTAATATGTTTAAGCATGTTTGAAAATAGTTTTGATGATATGTAAAATGCAATGAGAAAAGTTTTAGCTGAAAGAGCCAAAGTGTAAAGCTTGGGTCGGTCTTGATCACATTGTGACCGACTCAACGACGCTAAAGACTACGGTCTTCGTTCTTGGTCTCTTTTAGCTCTTCTTCTCTTGCTTTCTTCTTATATTTATTTCTCGCCTTGTATATTCAACGACTTGTCTCGTTCACGGCGGTTTGGCATTATCAAAACCTGTCATAACAACGAACACGGCTTTAGTACGAAAACGTGATAAACCCGTGTTTCAACAATTTCCCCCTTTTTGATAATGGCAAACAAGACGGGGTTATGCATAGGAGGATTGTTTTGAGACTTTGAAAATATTGAGACTTTTGAGAGATGTTTCCCCTTAACAAATGCAACAAGGTTTATGTTTTGAACAAGAGTTAATATTTTAAAAAAAATTGTGCCTTAGAAAAAGTTCCTCCTCAATCTATGCATAACCTTTATATCTTCCCCCTTTTGACATTAGAAAAAAGCACTTAAAAAATTGAAAATAGTACTCCTTGAACATTGATGTTTGATACTGAACATCGATGTTTGAAAATGTCCTAGAGCATCAATTGTCAACAATGTCGTAAAACGAGCTTCCCCCTTGATGCGGTTCATTGGGTTCCGTGCTTGGAGAACCCACTACAGGTTTGTAGTCTTCAAGCACACCCTTTTGTGTATCTAGTAATACCATTGAGGTACCCAATAGCTTTTGGGTCCTTGGGGGTTAGGCAAATAAAAATCATAATCATGATTATAAGAAGTGTCCCTATGTTTAGCAAAACAAACGGGAGCTATGTGTCCTATCTTAGAACAATAATGGCATACTACGTTTGGATTATGCATATGCCTAGGTTGAGCCAAAAACTTTCTAGGTGATCTAAAATCATTATTCCTAGAATTATTAACTAAATTCCTAGACTCATTTATAGGTTGTCTCAAAATATTTCTACCATTTGTAAAAATCCTAGAGTCAATTCGAGGTTGTCTCACCTTGTTACTTTTATTCTTTCTAAAATTAATTTTGTTATACCTAGGATTATTCGTTCTTCTAGGTGGTTTATCATTCTTAACTTCTTGACAAATTTTCTTAGGCTCTTCTACCTTAATTTTTTCAATGGTGCTTTTAAGTTCTACATTCTCTACTTTTAAAGACTCACAAGAGGAACAAGTAAAACTTTGGTCAAAGAAAGGATCTTCATTCATTGCCTTAATTTTATTTTTGAGGTCAAAATTATCATTTTCCAAAAATTTATTTTCCTCTTCCAAAGCATGAATTTTTGCCTTAGCCTCTTTGGCAATTTTTGAAGTTTTCTTCAATTCACCAAATAATTCTTGAAAGGCTTCTTGTAATTCTTCAAATGAGAAAGAGTTAGAAGTACTTACCTCTCCATTTCGTTCATGAGCCATAAGACATAAGGTGGCGGTTTTGTCATCGGAACTTTCCGAATCCCATGCCATGTATGCTCGTTCCTTCTTCTTCTTTTCCTTGCGGTTTGGGCAATATGGCTTTATGTGGCCAAGTTCTCCACAACCAAAGCACGTTGGAACGGGTTCCCCCTTTCTTTTACAATCTCAGGACCCAAGTTCTTCCTTCAAAAACTCTTGGAACTTTTCGAGCAAGTTATATGAAGGATTATCGTCATCGCTATCAGAGTCACTTACCTCTACCCTTTTTGAGGATGAGGCTTTGAGAGCGAGACCGGGACTCTTGTCAAGAGAAGGTTTAAGAATAGTGGATTCATAAGTTCTAAGATTACCTCGAAGACCATCGATGGTGACATTGGTGTTACTAATCGACTCATATATGGCATCGGCTTTTGAATGCCATTCTGGTGTTAGGCTCCGAAGGATTTTTCGAACAAGATCTTTGTTCGAGTATGTTTTACCAAGGACATGGAGATCGTTGATGATCTTTAAAAATCGGTCGAACATTTGATCAACGCTTTCAATTTCCTTCATTTTAAACAACTCATATTCATGGGTTAGAAAATCAATTTTAGCTTCACGGACTTGAGGC